CTGGAATACGATAAACGTGGTGACTGGACGAGCGAAAAGTTCAAGCCCACCACAAGTACCTGTTGGAATCCTCTCCCGAACTTTTGGCGAAGTTGTACATGACCCTGGACGACCAGACGCGCTGTGCGCCAACGCACCAGCCGAACGTGAAGCACCAGCATTCACGGAATTTGCGCCTGTTTCGACGGAGGACATTACGGCCCTTCTCCAGTCCGTTGACGCGTCAAAAGCAACTGGACATGATGACTTGCCGGATATTGTCCTTAGAAACTCGGCATCAATACTGGCTCCCTCGCTCAGCATCATTTTCAATACTTCGTTATGTCAGGGGTGTGTTCCCCGTCAGTTTAAAATTGCTAATGTGTCGCCGCTATTCAAAGGTGGCGGCCTTGACCCTTGTCAGCCTACTGCGTATCGACCTATTTCTCTACTACCAGTCGTTTCTCGCCTCCTCGAGAAGATCGTCAAAGCTCAGCTTACATCCTTTCTGACCGATCACAGTATTCTCCCTGACTCGCAGTTCGCGTACAGGAAGAACCACAGTACGGAGGACGCTCTTGTGCTAGCTGTCAATCGCTGGCTGAAAGCGAAGTATGAGCGCAAACTCACAGGTGTGATATTCGTGGATATGTCGAAGGCTTTCGACTGTGTCAAACACACCATCTTGGCACAGGAGCTATCCGACATTGGGGTCGGCGGTACTGTCCAGCTATGGTTCACTAGTTACCTGAGTGAGCGGCTTCAACGCGTAGTCGTGGGCGGAAATTGCTCGGAATACGTCGCATGCAGTCGAGGGGTGCCGCAAGGATCCGTCCTCGGCCCCCTCCTGTTCACACTATACATCCGTAACCTTCGATGCTGCTTGCCCCAGCAGGTCACAAACCAGGAATTTGCAGACGACATTGCAATTGAAGCCTCGGGCAGTTGCGAACAAGTGTGCTCTTCTCTAAGCACAGCCATCACTGGCCTGTCGCAGTGGTTGGAGGACCGCGGGCTAATGCTGAACCAAAAGAAAACGCAAGCTCTGTTGATTACCCCAAGAGGCCCAGCCCCTGACACAGATAACATTCGAATTCGCTGTGGGAATGCAGCCCTTGCAGTTGTGGAACAAGCGCGGTACCTGGGCGTAATGGTAGATGGGCAGCTCTCCTGGGAGCCTCACGTCAATCACACAATCCAGCAGGTGCGGAAGTCAGTAGGTGCGCTGTGGCGGAGCCGCCGAAGCCTCACCCTGGCGTCAAAGATCCTGTTTTACAGGTCGATGATCCAGGGTAGGTTGTCGTACGCTTCCAACGCCTTTTATCCGTCACTTCAAATTGGCAACATGGAGCCCGATCTTTGAACAGCTCCGCCTCACCACCCTGGAGGACATGTTTAACATTAAGCTCCTCATCTTTGTCCGTCGTTGTCTGTTCTCCCGAGCTAGCTCCCTCTTCACCAGCTTCTTCGTGAGAGTTACTGGTGACCGCACTCGGGGAGCAGCACAACACCTCGTTCGAGTACCATTTTGGCCCGGTGCTGCGGGTCGAGCGACCATGCAGTTCATCGGCGCAGTCCTGTGGAACCAGCTCCCGCCTGATCTCCGTTCCGAGCCCAGCCACCTTCAGTTCTGTGCCCTGCTAAAAGCGCATCATGGCTCCGTTTAAATGCTTTTCGGCTAGTGTGTTTCTGTGGTATAGCGGACTGAAGAATAGTAAACGTGTTTTGCAATATATGTATGAAGCTATTTTGTATATAGTATGTTCCCATTCCGTTTTTGCTTTGGTGTAGCCCTGAGGTTGATTGCTTATTTATTTCTACCCTTCCTCTCTCCATACTTCTGTCCCCCCCCCCCCCCCCCCCCCCTCTCTCCCTCATTCCTTCTGTCGTCCACATGTATCAAAGGAGGCGAAATCGCCTGTTTGTGGTGCGACGTTAAATAAACTTCTACAACAACAACAACAGGACTTCCTGCTGCGTCCAGTTTTGAACTTTTCACCACGCGGTACACGTGCTTTCACAGTTTTCAGCCTTTTTTTGCAGTGCAAACTGCAATGAAAAGATCGCCGCACCCCGCCGGACGAGCGTTACGAACTTGACGAAAATTTGTCGCACTAGCCTGGTCGCGCGTTACGCCGCACCCCCCCCCCCCTGCGTTACGCGTTACGCGGCAACATATATTGCCAGTACGGTAGTATGCTTTTGATTATGCCACAATTATGCCAACAAATATGCTGAATTATGCTCGGTTCCACTATGTATTCACGCTGTACATAAAAAAAAAGTAAAAAAGTAAATTATCGTATCCGTTCCCGAAGGGAACTCACGACGGCCGCTAACACCCGATAAACCCTAGCGCTGTACATAGAGGATTGAGAAACCACGCATACACACACGGCCATGCCCTAAGCATAATTTTTGTCTAAACCGAAAGATTATGCCGACCTTACACGTTGGAATCCGTATTATGCCGGAGCATAATTTTTTAATACGGATTCCAACGTGTAAGGTCGGCATAATCTTTCGGTTTAGACAAAAATTATGCTTAGGGCATGGCCGTGTGTGTATGCGTGGTTTCTCAATCCTCTATGTACAGCGTGAATACATAGTGGAACCGAGCATAATTCAGCATATTTGTTGGCATAATTTTTTTATTTATTATGCCGGCAAAATCCGCCAAGGGCTATGACAAGGTCAAAGAGTCGTAACTGGGGTATTTAAAAAAAAAACAGCTGCAGGCTTTCTGACAAAGCTGTACATGTATTATGCCCCTAAGCATATTTTTTGTCTAAACCGAAAGATTATGCCGACCTTGCACGTTGGAATCCGTATATTTCTACCGGAGCATAATGTTTTGACGAAATCCCAAGATTATGCCAAATATTATGCCGGCATAATCCGCCAAGGGCTACCACTGAGGAGCTCTTTAAAATAATGAGCGAAACAGCAGTCTGGAGGATATGGAGCATCTACCCAAGAACGAACTTCCTCGCTATGTAGTATGGTGTTGTGAATGTGGGCCAAGAGCGCAGTGTAGCAGTGTTGGGAGCTAGAGGTGGACAGTTCAGAATATTGTCAGTCCCGAAACAATGGGAAGGGTTGAAAACTTGAAGCTCTTCTTCAATGTTAAAACCTGATTTGAAATTTTGGTAATTTTTGCATGGAGCACTTTGCACAAAACACATCCCAGCGTTTTGTCTCTACTGTTGTACTATTCAAACTACATGTACATGTACATGTAGTTGTCTTTTCAGGTACCTGAGACTGAGTAGTGATTTCTGTTGTCAAGTCAAGCCAACTAGGGTGGCTGGTCTTTCCTTTGAGGGTTCTTGGCTGCCCATACTAACAATCTCATTCGGTTTGGAACGCAAATATCAGTACTCCGCGGGGTGCTTCCCGAAATTGGCCCGATAGATTTTCTTCATTCCTTCATGTCGTGTGGTTCATATGCTAAACATTACGTAGTCAAGTGGTGTGCTTCACTGTCCGAAGAGTGCTCAATGCCCATGTAGGGCAGAGCCTTGTACACAAGAGAGAGTTTGGAAGCTTTGTTACAACTCTGAGTTTCACGTATTTCTACGATCATCAGGCAACTGATGGATCCAAAACGGGCAGCCAGAACATAAGGGGGAGCAAGGTGGGAAATTATGAGGGGCGTCATAGGCGACGCGTATCATAGCGCAAGAGTCAGGTGCAGGCGTGAAGTTGCCAAGTCTTCAGACTTGGGGCTATGCAGCAGTAGTTCCGGCATGAATGATATAGAATAGAGCTGGGGACAAATGCCAAATCCACACATGCCCACACCACTACACAAACATACACCCACACTCTCTCCCTTTTCTCACATACACATACACTCCGCTAAACATTAGATATTTTCACATTGAATCAATGTGAAATATCTAGGAGCACAGTTTAATGAATCCAATATTGGCTGACATTTGTGGCGGACCAAAAACCTTATGGTCAAACATACTTGCCCCAGTGAATTTCATTCAAATTTTGCAGGAGTACACCTTGATAGGAATGTGAAGAGTCTGCAAATCCCCCTGCAACTACCAGAAGCATACTTTGTCAAGTGCTCTCCATGAAAAAAATTGGTAAGGATGTTCGTTTATTTAGAAGTACAAATGTAGCGGCTTCGGCGATATTAGTGATGAAGTTGGTTGACGTGCCTTTGATTGATGAAAACGCATCCACCAACTGTCGTGTTTCTGTCACCATCAGAACATGCATTTTGAGTCGATTATAGAAGCTATTCCGTGGCGAGCTGCACTTTGGGCGATTCACTAAAAACTTGAAATTGGCTCCAAAATCAAGTTCTGATACCGGCAGTGCATTGCCTAGTATAGTGGTGAGGCACGCTTGTCCAGCAGACCGGCCGTAATCTATACCCTCGAACACAGGGAACACCCTCAAATAACGTGGTACAAGAGAGAAAGCTCAGCTATGTGCAGTACTGTTACTAAGTACGTTCCAGATGCAGAAATGAATGGGCCACTTCTGGGAGCACTGAGCACTTGACCCAGTCAAACAATCCGCTGAAACACCCAAAAATGCTAAAATGCATTACCTTGATTACCCTGCATGCAGAATTCACTGCGCTTTAGGCCTTTCTGTGTGACAAACATTATTTTACATAACAACTGACGTCCAAGACCAAGACTATCAAATTATTATGTTGATGATTAGTTCGGCTACTTATGGTTCTACCAGTGATACATATGCATGTAACTTTATGTATCCTCTGCTGCTCAGTGCCACCCTTCTACTAAGTAGTTGAGCCACAGGCAGCATACACACACACAAGCATTGACATCAGTGTGCAACAAAGGGTAGGTTATAAATGGTCATGCCTGTACAACTAATTACTTTGAAGCCATGCAATATCACAGAGTGTCACATTCATAACATCTCCCATGTCAGGAGTCACAGCTTGCACAGCACCATACATGGCTGCAGCACGGACACATGGCGGTAACCCGGACACAAAGGGAGCTGCGTTTTCAAACACATAACAATTGAGGCTAATAAACCCAGTAATAATCGTGGAAAACGTATAATACTGATGGCGTGGTGATACTACAGTCATTCGAGTTATTAATTTTAAATACTTTCTAGGATCATGTCACGATGTGGTGCTTCGGCACCCTGACTGGTCATGTTCAAGCAGGCTAAGTGTAGCCACACATAAAGAAGCATGGAAAAGCACTACAAATACACATGTTTTCTGAACTTTTCTCCTATAGTAGAGTATCTGTTGAATCAGGATAGGGCGGCATTAATGGTTCATATTTAGTCATAATGAGAGCTGCTACCCAGCCAACGCCCAAACTGTCTATCACTAATTAAATGAATTGTAATTACATTAAGGTTAAGGAGATGGTGATGCATGGGATTCGAACTACAGGTATTGACTATTGTCACGACTCATGGTGAACATCCAGTTAATCAAACGTCTGAGGCGCTGTCCCCAATGCTATAATTGATAATTCTCTAGATTGTTCCACACAAGGGTTCAATGTTTCAAGCCGACATTCTACACTATACATGAGCTTTGCATAACATCGTCATCAGCCGCGACGCTGTACGTCCGATAACTCTACGAAAGGCTCTCGGTTCTGTCAATCAAGTGCTGATCAAGAGGCATTTTGAGCCAATGTTGTCTCTCTTGCTACACATTGCTTACTGTGTAAGGTCGATCCGGTGTGCTCGCGTGCAGTCTCGTTCTTACAACTGGTGAAGGGCTGCGATCCGCAGGCATGAGTCCCTCATCAGACACTAACGTTGTTTCCTGCTGCGAGCCCGTTGACGAAGTGGACCCGCGATCCCTTGCGGACGGAACGTTCAGGCCAACGTAGGTCATTTGCTGGTGGTTTGCCGGCAAGTTGGACGCCTCGGCCAGCTGCGGCGTTGGACCACGGGAATGCCCATCCGCTTCGTTCGGAACTACAAGCGGTGAATGAAGGTACACCTTTCGATTGACATTGGGAGTAGTGAGCGGTGACGCTTGCAGGGATGAGTGGCTGTTCGTCGTCGACTGCTTGGATCCGAGAGACATGGCACTGGCTTTCGTTCTCGGCATGCGGTACTTGCGATTACGGAACATCTGAATCAGCCGCGGCAGGAACAGGCACACCCAGAACGCTTCCAGCAAGCAAGCAAGGGAAAGCGATGAGATGAGTGGTCGCAGCTCTCGTCCAGTAACGAAGTAGGCCGGCTGCAGACCAAGCCAGACGACAAAGGCCGTCAGCGACGACAGATAAATGAGCTGTGCCTGGTTATACTCGTCGGGGAGCTTTCTGGTGAGGAACGCCAGCACAATGCAGACTATGAGAAGCACACAGTTATAACCACTCATTAGGCCTTGCCATAAGTATTCGATCTCGCAGTAGACCACCACCGTACTTAGTCCCAGCTCTGTGATCGCTACGGACGGGTTGATGATAGCATAGAGAGTGCCCAGGATCACGTTGACTAGCGTCAGTCCACAGATTGCGACTATTTGCATGGGCGTGCCGAGCAGGAAACGACGACGCTTGTGCCTGCTGAGGATCTTCATCGAGTTGAAGACGCTGTCGAATCGCTTGGTTTTGACCAGTACCGTGCTAATCACAAACGTCTTGATTGGCTCCGGAACCACTGTACTCACGATGCACTTTGTTGTCGTGACCGAACCCCAGATATTGACAAACGGCACGAAAATAAAACCAACAATCATTCCCACCAAAGTCAGCGTACTCAGCTCGAGATCTGATGCCCGTATCAGGACGGAGTCGGAGTAGATTCGATAGTAGATAAGTGTGAAGATGGCTGCAACCAGGAAGACAATGGACAGTACCGTCGACACCAGGTACTCTGCGCTGGATGCCGCATACTGCTGGGGAGCGATCGGAAAGCACGCCGTACCGTCCGACGTAAACCCGAGCGGACAAGTTTCGCACTGGTCGGCGTTCGTCGCATTGCTGAACTCGTTACCATCGCAGGGTATGCACGACCAGCAGCAGCACGCGAATCCTTGCTCGCAAACCCGACGCTCTCCAGGGTGGCATAGCTGCCTGCAGCTCGAAGTCGGGAAAGCGGCCAGAACCTTGGACAGGTTGTCTGCCGCCAGCGGGAATTTCCCGAACGACAGCAATTGAAACTCCTCGTCCTCGTACCATCGAAAGCCGTGGTCTGGCGACCAGGCGCCCACAGCCACCGCATCGTACCTGACGCGTCCCATCGAATTGTTGGAGAGCATCTGCACATTCTGGATGTAGAACGATGGTCTGGTGCTTTGCTCCGCAGTAAACACTTTACACATGCCACTTGAACACGGCAGCTCCATGTCTATAAGCTCCTGGCGCACCTGGCCTGGCGGTGGAATGCGATCCGGGAGCCTGGTCGACGAGAAGTCCTTGCCAAATGCAGCATTCGACATGGCAAGCCCCAGCGCCACCACGCTCGACAGAAGTGACTCGGCTATGACCGTCGATCTAGGTGGCACGAACCTCGCATAGTCTGCCCTTCTGCACGCTGGAGGTCTTGAAGAGCGGGTCGGAGGCGGAGATTCACTTGGTCGAGGACCCCGGTCCTGCCGAATCATGCAGTCGTCCTCATCACTTTGAAGCTGAACTTTGCATTGTAATGCTTGCTCGACGAAACTCCGAAACCATGGATCAATCTGCACATATCTGGCGACAACGTCCGGCTTTCTAAGGTCCCTCATCATCTGCCTTGTGATATTCCGGACGCCGGTCATGGCTAGCTGGCGTGGCGCCAGGCCGATAATCGGTATTTTCGTGGCAAACGTGCCGTCTCGAATCGTCAATCGATTAATCCAGTCGTGGCTGCTGATCAGGATTTTATCCGTCACTCCCTCCAGTTCAAGCGCTTGCAGGAATGTCCGTGCTGCTAAGACTGGCGCGTAGACAATGATCACACGGGCACGGGAGCGAGACAGTCGCTTTGCAAGCAGTCGAGTACGTGCCAGACTGCTCGACCGACCGGTGAACCGCTCGCTCACGTCCAGGCAGAACGTTTGCCTCGCAATAACTTCGGAGCGCAGCAGTTCATACCCTCTGCCACTGTACTCGTCATCCTCGGCTGCCACCAGAGACACGAAAGTCCAGTTGAAGTACTCCACTAGACTGGCAATCGCCGCCACCTGGAACTGGTCAGACGGCACAGTGCGAAAGAGGTATGGGTAGTCTTGCGTGTCGTCGAACAACGTACTGCTTGCCCAGTAGCTGATATGGGGTATGTTGTACACGGACAAAAGGGGAGAGACAGCAATGACAGTGCTGGAGCTCATTGGCCCAATGATGCCCGCCAGTGGGTCGCCCCCGTAGGCACTCTCCTCCAATGCTCTGGTACAGTTGCCTTGTAAAGCGACGCTTTCCTCGCCCAGACCCTCTATGACAGAGTTCAGGGTGGCTTGACGAAACACGGTCGATTCAGCGATAAAGCGCTGCGCCAAAGTCACGCCAAGCAGTGCCGAGGCGCAGGAATCGAATATCGTTGCTGCCAGAATGTTCTGGCCTGCGTTTTCACCTGAGAGAATGCGTCTCACTATTGCTCGGTGGGGAAGGACGGTCTCCGCTATATCCAACGCGTACAGCAGGCCCAAACTCTGCTGAACGGCACCCCAATTACCGAAAGTCCGACACTCGTCGTCCAGAGGCGAATACAACTCGTTCATTTCAAGCAGTCCTCCCATCCGGAATTGCAGGCCATCGATCTCTGCAGAGTCCGTTTGTACCATGCAGTGGTTGTCCGCGTCAGCAAATCCACCGAGAAAACTGAGTCGTGTTGGAGGCTTGCTTGGTGGAGGCATACCTGGCACACCTGTAGGACCAGCACCTGGTCCAGGGCCCCTGCTCTGGGCAGCGCAAGCCGCTACACACGACAGCAGGAGCACGAACTGTATCATCTTCGCGCTGCAAGACTAAGTCAGCAAGTGTAAGAGCGCACAACAACCATTACCAGCCGGCTTAGGTCCCGCAAGGGAAATGAACACAGGCTCTCTTCCTGTAGTATACTACTGACTGTAGATTACAAGAAGTATCTACAATGACTATGACTTTGTCGGAAAGGTGATCAAAAGACTGTCAGTCTGCGACGGACTACATCATACTTTCATAGCTGGCCAGGGTTGAGTTTGGGAGCTTTGATTTTGACTTGAGTTTGACCTCGCTTTGACGTGCTTGGTGTCGACGGTTGACGGTACGTGTTTCGCTGACACGCTGTTTCAGTGTTTGCCCACGCAAGCACCGGTCACCGGTCTGCACCCGATCTGAGCTGAACGAACAGTGCTAGTGTCGTAGTGAAGTCTGCGCACTTCGCGCCAGGCCAGTATCCATGGTATCGACTACCACTAGTAATAGTATTAAATTTTGTAGTATCGTGGGCGCTCGTCTGCGCACTCGGACTCGTGTTGGTCTGATCTCTGCGCCCTGATGTCAGTGATGAGATCCTCCGTATACGGGCGAGTGGCTGAGCATGAGTGCCGTGGTGGTGAAGGCTGTGATCATGATAATCATGCATTCATGGAATCATAGTGACTGTGTGTGTGACTACTGTTTAATTTTTTTATTTGTGCCGGATCCGCGGAAGCGTCGTTGGCTGGTACATGGTACATGGTGGATCTACATGTAGGTATGGGTATAGGTAGCGCTCTAGACTTGTATTTGTAAGTAATACCAAGAGTCCATAACCAGGGGTTATGGACTCTAGTCTTGGTATTACTATTGTTACTTTATTTTGACATCAAAAAATTAATAACAACGCCTTTCCGGTGGTACGGGTATTCACCGCACGCAAGCGCTAAAAGTAAAAGCAAAAGACTTCCTGCAAAGCTCGAACGACGCATACTGCAGCTGTACAGTTACTGGGCTACTTGTTAGTTGTAGGCTGGTACCGACTGGTATTATTTTAGTAGAAGACTCTACATGACTGTAACGAACTAATACTTGTGCATGTACATAAGTGCGTGAACATCGCGAAACGGCATCTTGTAGTTGTTGCAGCGCCAGGGGCCAGATGGGGCCACCTCACAGCCACTCCTCCAGCTCTGGTACTGCACTTGTATCGCGGTGTTCTGCCTCTGGTGTTTTGATGTGGATTGTTTTTCGGTACCATGGCGCGGGAGGCGCGGGAGGCGCGACAGTCTGTAGTGCGACAACGAGTGCAGCAGTGCCAGTAGAGCCAGGTGCTTGAGCTGGCTGAAGTAACAGTTTGTTATGCAACTGCAAGGGGGAGAGTCGCGCCATATACATGTACATGACTGTACAGTGTATGTGTGAAAACTAAATCAATGCACAGTCACTGAGTGCACAATGCATGATGTTCTAACACTTCTACGCCTCATCACTTCAAGTAGTTGGCACGAAAATATTAATTGTTGAGAGCGGAGTAAAGGCTCTTTGCAAGACCTAGGCACACACTGCAGGAATGTCATTTTTCTAGTTTTACATGTAAACCTGTCAAACTAACTTACATACCAGTTACACTTGCGGAAGGATTCTGACAGTGACACAATGTCATACATGTTGCTGGTTGACAGCATGTAACAAGGTGGAGGACACCCTACGTACTAAGTGTTTATCTAATACTATAAGTATAATGACATACATGTACATGTACAAGCCATCACGTGACAAGTACATAACAAGTCAGTGATGCACTTTTTTTGTTTTTGTCTTTGATGATCATGATCTATGATTCTATGAAGACTATGATGTCAGATACATGTAGACTGTGCCCAGTGGGTTTCAGCAGCATCCAACCTTCCAGACTTCGGTACATACAGTGCGTAATACTAATCGGTAAATTAATTACATTCGTCTGGTCTCGTCTTTTATTTTCCGTCCAAGGAGCTTTTGGACTAAATTAAATTTAATGCCGGACTAATGTCCATTTGTCCAGCTTTTCAATACACTCTTATGATCCATGGACGAAATTTTTAACCGGACGAACTCCCTTTCTTTGGAGTTGGACGATAAATTATTGACCGACGACATTTTCTGCCTGACAGTACAGTGTGATCGTTCAAAGAATATACTGCCTACGCGAATGAACTCTCATTTTTTCGTAATCATAGCTTGGGTTTCAAGTGAATATTTTATTCTTACAAGCAATGTTATCGTTTAGTACAGGTGGAATCCTGATAATTCGAATATGGATTAATACCGAACATAGAAGTTTTTCCAGGACCGATTTCTCTCAATACGATTTCCACATCAAATCAGTTTCAGATAATTCGAACCTCGAACAGGACATGTCCGGTTAATTAGAAGTACCACGGATTTCACTCACATAGAAAATGTGTGGGATTTGTGCTGATAATGGCGAAGTACGCAAAGTGTAATTCGAAGTTCACTGTACACTGTACTGGTCAGTTCAGTTTGCATGAACAGGCTGTGCCGGTCAGTTCAGTATCCGTGAAATCTGTGTCTAAGGTTCATAGCGCAACTCTGCGTGACCATGAGAGCATTTTGACATACACATTGTGTTGTAGGTTCATGTTTGGATAATTAGAATGTCCGGAAAATTTGAAGTTTTTTTCCTGGCATTTCGAGGTTCGAATTATCAGGATTCCACCTGTAGAATATATCGGTCCTAATAATTTACTTTGTGTAGCAAAGCATGCCAGGTTAGTACAAAGTCAATGCAGTTCTGATCCGGCTCGCATTGCATCGTAGTGCTGCAAGTTCAACTATTGTTGTCTTTTAACTCAGGCTGCATAGCCACATGGTTAGCTTATGGGACTATGAACATCCGCTTGCACAGCAGCGCAGCGATACTTTGCATGTATGATGGCCTTCCTACCTAGTGCATAATCAGGGGCGTCGGACACGGTACGGTCACTACGGTATTCACCGTACCACTTTTTGCCCCAAATAGAAATCAACAAAATACACTGATCTGGGATCTAAAATTCCAAAATTTTCGGCTCAGCCACCACTCCCCCACGAGTAAATTGTACCTCAGATGGCTGACCGTACCACACTAAGATACCTTCCGACGCCCCTGATGATAATATGTCACACTTGATTTATCGCGTGTAATACCGGAAATAAGAATAGAAAGTCGTTTTGCAAACACCCACCCTATAACCGATACCTACTGTACCATTTTCAAACATCAATAATCCTGCATACATGACGGTACACAAACATGTAAGTTGCAACAACATCTTACATCTCAATCCTACATAGTGGTTATAAATCGGTACAGTACAATTAAGTCATGTAGTCAGTCACATGCATGTATCTACGGAAAACTTGCTTTGTTGATGGCATACTAGTACTTCAGTACAGCACTGTTGGGCGCTGAAGAACGAACAGGCTAGAATTTCACAAAGGACAGCATACCAACGTATACACAGTGACTACACTGTGCATAGACTGTAGTACGTAAAAAATAAGAACGGTCTAGGCTAGGAGGCTGACCCCCCCCCCCCCCCCCCACCGTTCTTTGGCGACCAACAGTACTGTAGGGCGGTATTGTACATGACTAGACTGTATGTATCAAGGTTCAAGGTCGGTCAGACAGGGCAGTGGACCTGGTGGCGGTGGTGGTTGACAATTCTTGTAGTTTAATTTTTTTAAATACAGGGCAAAAAAATTTGTTATGCCATGTACCGGTATACATGTACATGCAGTGCTGCCAAACCGTCCAATTTTTCGGACAATGTCCGATTTTCGAAGGCTCTTCCGAAAACCGGTCCGAAAAAGGAAACGTCCGAAAAGCAGCCAAAATTGTCAGGGATCAGTACTTTCCTATGCAGAAGTCCTGTATTTTCACTTTTCAGCACAACTGAAGGCACAAATGTACTAGCAGTAGCACATGTACAGTTGTGGCAAGTGAAATCCGACACTTGCCATAGGGGACAGCGCCACAAATGGACACCAATGATGTAATGCACTGCACCTAATTTGTACTATAGAGCCGTATGCATCCCGAACAGATCGAAACTCACAGCGTAGATACACACAGTTCACAATTATGGTACACATAAGGAGTATTGGCATCCAATCCCCATTCATTTTTGCCAGCACCTTTTGAACCTTGACTGTGATGAGTACGAGTTTTGTCATCAGACAGATAAAGTTGTATGTAACACATGTACTGTACGTATGCAGGGCTGCAGGGGCTGCAGACTGCATGGTGCAGTCCCTTATGCCAAGTGTCGGATTTCACTTGCCACAACTGTACATGTACCGTACATGTAAAAAACTAGCGCTTGGCCGGCTGTGGTCCCAGTGTGGAAGTGCAAAATTATTTGAGTAACATGCCTGGTTGGCATGTACGAGTACTCTGTACAGTATGTGACCACACACATACAAAATTCATGACAACGTTGGGGTCCCATATCAGTTACCATGGCAACGGAGCGATTTTTCGTGGTATTTTGGGCGATATTTTGAATTTTCTGGAAAAAATTTCGGAGGAGAAATTGCGCACCATGTGGCCAGGCTTGGCAGAGAAGGGTGTCCGATTTTGGGCGAAAATTATTTGGCAGCACTGTCACCATGTATGGAGGTACTTCGAAGTAGAATTTTTTTGAATTCTTTATTCTCACGAATCAGTCACGATGGCACCAATTTGAAAGGGTTGTTGCGAACGGAGAAGAAGTGCCCAACCTTTTGTTTTTGAGGGCTTGAGGGCTGCTCAGCTGAAGAAGAGGTAATTCAAAGAAAATAGGCACTGTAGATCCGAGTCTTACTGTAGAAAGGCTAATTTTAGCGGGATTTTTTTAGCATTTTCTGAATCTGGACCAATTCGCGATGAAAATTAATAATACTTTTTTCAGCGATCCAAGTACTAGTTTCAGAGTTACAAAATAATGACTAGTACTGTACTATACGATCACAATTTCGATTGCCGCAGCACGGCTTAAGCGAAAACACTCCTTTCGATAAAATTGCTAATATATCACCTAATATATCACCCGCGCTAAAATTAACCGTTTCACAGTACGCAAGTTTGGGTACCTATCAAGGGGGGGGGGGGGGGGATCCTTCAGTTACTATAATAATTATACTCCGCAAAAAATCTGGCCCATGCTGCACGTGGTAATTGGTAACTAGTCGACTACCATGTGCAGCATTGGCCGGATTATTTTTGGCGAATCTAGTACCGCTTCACTGTATAGGCAAGGTATCTGTGTACTGTGGTGAAAGCCTTTTGTTCTCTACGCTTGCAGACAGTGGTGTACGTGTGGAGTTTGCAAACCACCAAAGTGATTTTCAAGAAAAAAATACACGTCATACCCACTTCTCACTGATCTCGAGATCGCGCTTCATATCATGGTGGGATGGTGATGTGGTGCATGTTGTCCTTTCTTTAAGGCTTCATGTATAATTATGTATGTACTCTGATAGCTGCTTCAAGACAAGGTGATCTGCAAAAGGCAGTTTTCGATTGTCCTGGTACCACACCTCAATATTGTAATATTATTCAGCGAGGGATGATGTCATGCGTTCAGGGTTCCAGGGTTACTCATATGCATGTCATAGCAATACAATCAAGTATACAAAGTGTTCAAGAGACTCGCACAATGACATGGCATGATTATGACTTTTGCATGTACTTCGAAGTACAAACCACGGTACACGTGCATCCAGTCATGCAAACATCAAAAGTGTCACGTGTCTTGTGCTTAGGAAATCCCCAAAACCTATAAATGAGCCCCTAAAGTCAGATTGAAATTTTGGATGCTATAGGCTTGTTAGCTGTTTCATCAATATGACTTGAACTGAATCCATGCACTCTCAGAAGCGTTTGGACAGAGGTGCAGCACTTGCCAAAATCCCAACATCACCCACCAGGGATGGCGTCTTCATCTTAGACTCCGGCCTTAGTCCTTACAGGTTTCTCCTCTCCGCATGCTAGTCATGAGACGGTGTGCCCAACGTACTTGTGACATTAACAGTACTAAGCTTCACGCATTGAGCGAGCATCACCTCCATCGGACAGCTGCACGGTGACCACTTGGTGAGTGAACGTAAGTTAGTCGGTGTGGAAACTGGCAGCCTCTCGTCTCCTGTGCGTGTGGACATCACTCCGCTCTCTATCTGAGCTGCTCAGAGTGGCCCTGGGTATTGTTTCCTCTCCCAATGCCACCATAATTATAATTATATTAAAAAATATGCACACTGAGAATAAAAATCCACCCAGTGGTTTGTTGGGACTCAAAGTTTCACTCTAAGGCGGTCATTAGCCAGCAATTAGAAAGCAACTTGAATTGTGCTGGCTAATGATGGCCTTAGCGTGAACATTGGAGTTTCAACAAACAACTGGGTGCATTCTCTTCCCAGTGCGTGAACGGACTTTGCACATTCTTGATCAAGCGCCATTGCAACGACAAGAGTACTACAATGTTCATTGTATCGGCTGGCTATCTGTCCATGTCCTCCAGTATCACATTGGCAGTCCTGAACTTGACATACGCCTGTCAGCCGTGAACAGGGCATGCCGTCTACATGTCATCATTCGCTCCTAATTTGGCTCCAGCGAACAGACCAGCCACCAACCCAGGACTGGGGTGTGTTAGAAATCCATGCAGGTGCCATGCTACAATGCAACATGCCATGCATGTGCTGTAACACACTAGCAAGTTGTGCATGTCAGCCGCATCCCCAGAAAAAGTGCATATCATGCAGTACTGGTCGAGCTCTGCTTTACTGAATGCAGTGCTAGCTGTGGGTGGCAACGAAAAAGTAACTCTGTGTGCGATCGCAAGGGCTCAGCTCCCACTGCCCATTCACCTGTCGTAACGCAACAAGACTGCGGCAGCGCGAAAGACGCACGTGCCGGGGGACAAGCGCCCGGGACTGCGTTGTACACACGGCACATCGTACGGATCAGTGGACAACCTGACTTGACGACACACCCTCGCACTCAACATTCATGTAGTCTTACCTGAATGAGGTTCGCATGTCGCAATCCAATGTCCAGGACACAGTCGTACATACTGCTGTACACATCAGATGTATTCGTCCTTCTGGCTTAGTCATGCGAGTGTCATATGAGTTGCTAAGTTCACCGCACAGCTCCTGCAGCAAGGAGACAAGCACAGTTCTATTGCCCACAGCACATCGTATACTGTACAAAGTACAATGTCATCGTATTGCCCACAAACTATCCATTACAAAATATAAAACAGAGGGGTTCCAGGCTGTCCAAGAGAGTGCTCAATACCGAGAGGTAGAGCTGGTTCAAACAATAGTGTAGTGCATTACAAAATATATTCATGAAAGAGTCTGCTATTGCCACTTCAGAGTACTTCTACAGAGAAGTTTGCTACTTCAACTACAAACGCCATTGCCCTTTGTAATTGGTGTGATACTGGTGCACTAACGACGAGTATTGTTAGTGGGTGGTCTTCAACATGCACACAAGGGTTCCCCAAGACTTACCGCCGGGTGAGATTGAACAGAGTGAACAACCTAAATCGCGGCGCACAGCTGACGCAACTCGAAGGCAATAGCAGCCTCGATATGACTATAATGAGTGATGGATGGCTGTGCCTCCCTGGCTGTCGTGGAGGCTAGGATGTCCCGTTGAGCCTTGCCCCGTGATTGTGCGGACTATGCTATGCTTCTCTTGCTGTCTGATCACATGCGACGTCATCATTATGTGATTTGTTTTCAATCCTCCGCCATGGCAAATTGTGTTTTGTTCGCCCGTAAAAGAGGCTTTTACTATAATGAGTGATACGTCGGGCAGCTAGCACGTCATAATTATAGCAAATTATTTTCCAGATTTGTTCAAGACAACGTGTACACTTCAAAGCAACTGGGCATGCCGCCTAAACATTACATGATGCTAACTTATCTAGAGAAACAGTCAATCGTCACTGATTTCATTTGCCAAATACCAAATATTTACAAACAGATACAGAACCGTCCTGTCAGATACAACATGCACTACGCACACAAGGCACAACTGCCCGGCTGACAGTAAAGTGAGTTCTGAAGGAGTTGATTTCTTGATCAAAAATAGGATAACAATCATCAATCAATTTTTTAAAGTCAAGTCTTGGCTTGCTGTCTTAACGCGACGCCCGTTTTAGCTGAAGGCGGACATGACGTGCGTCACAAATTAGGCACACAAACAACTGGGGATTCCGGGATGCCATCCTTAATCATACTACTGTATTGGTGAACTAAGCTATTAGGCTGTGTTTGATATCGCACTTGCTCGACTTATCCATGGATTTACTTTTCTGTACATGACTGTACTTTGTCATTTTCGGGCTTTCAAACGAATACTCTCCCCTTGTTACAGAATTCCAGGTAAACATGATTACAGACCACCCTAAAATGTTTTTAGTAAAATTTAGGCCAGGGAGGGGGGGGGGGGGCTGGATATTAGTACAGTAATGTGTTACTGCAGAACGGCTGTGGGACTACAAATACGGCATGGCCTATACTTTGATCATCCTCTCCCCCCCCTCAGCTCATCCATCAATCTACAGTCACATTCCCCGGAGTGATGTATTGTGACAGAACCACTCATACTCATATTGAGTTGAGAGGTCCTTTTTTCTCTTTCACATTCATGTTCTGGCTCTGAACAACAGCAGGGCTAGGCTAGGGCTAGGGATAGAGGTCGTCACAAATAAATAGAGAGAATAGACAATAGAAAAAAGGTTAGCTAAAAATTCGACATTTGTTATCAATTTGAAAAGGGGTGCCTTGTGGGCAACTAGTGTTTTTTCTCTAGCCAGATTTATGCCTCATGCCTTCTCCAGCAGCAGGAGGATGAAGACAGGAATAACTACACTGCGTGCTTGGTGGTTAGCATTCCAGCACCAGATCTCCACCATAAAAAGGCCCAGCCTCCTTGGGATTGCAACAAAATTTTAATGTTGTCCGCAACATCTAGCTGTTGAGGTCAGAGCCAACTGTACATGTGGCTGATTACGGGATGGAGATCTGGGCTACATGTGGTGGCTGCTAAAACATGATCAAGAGTAAGACTGTTTGAGGACATCAACGCAGTTCTCTACTTGTGTCAAACCTTCAAAGAACGGGATCAGCTCCAGTAGCTCCGTGTCGGTCGGATCGTCGAACCAGGAACCCACAGGCACGGCGTTGTCCGGATGAAAGATGTAGCTGGCCGGCGAGTTGTCGATGATGATCGTGTTGCACACCTCGCGTCCCATCCTGCTCAAGTCTTTCACGTAGTTCCCTTTGTAGTAGACACAGGCCTCCCGGAACAGGCGATGTCGGAAACAGCCTGTCCGGTCGAGCAAATCCGTCACGGGATCAGCATACTTGGCGAGCGACGCAGTGAATAGGACGCATTCGAACAGTTCTCCCATTCTCCTGAGGAACTGATCAACGTAGGGTCGCTTCAGCACGTACACCTGGTGAATGACGCCTTCAATCTCGACCGGTATTACGAAATCCGCGTTGGGGACGGGATTGAAACTGCTATGCACAAGGGTTTCGTCCAAATCAATCACGACGCATTTCTTGTGCCGATCCTCACTGCGCACCTCGCCGATCAGGCAATCGTCAGCGAGTGTAGGCTCGCCGGTGCTGGCAATGGTCGATTGGCACAACTTCGTGCTTGGCACCGTACTCCCATCGTCCGAGGACGACAGGCTGTCCACATTCTGTGACTCGCCTTGCTGTCCGTTTTTGCTGCGTGCGCAGCAAAGGATGGAGGCAAGCAGGCTTGTCCTACGCACTCCGGGTGCCGCCGGATTAGCTTGGTCATGGCCGAACTCGCCCTGGTCCTCGTCGTGCCCATTGCTGTTCACCATCGGCACATCATGTCCGCCGTTCACGCCGCTGTTTCCACTGGTGCTGCTGGTCGAGGTCGCGGTGCTACCAAATCCAGAACTGACCGGCGCACAATCGTCACGGGCCACCTGCGTTATAATGGATTGATCCATGTTTGCCTGATCGGTGGGTCGGGTGTAGATCAACACCGCGGTACCGCTAGCCGATCCCACAGCGGAACGGCTCGGCACGATAAAAGCACAGGACTAGTAAGAGTGTCCGTTCCTTTCGCGTTTGGCGCGCAGCCAGCAGAAATCAGAGAGTCACTTCCTTATCTCGCTTCACACGATCAGATCTGGATCTCCCTTCCTTCTTGATTGTCGCACCAGCGCTGCTGCTTCCTACGCAGACCTAGCTACGCGCAGGGGATACTACTAATCTGAGCCCAGTTTCCCTTTCCGCTGCATTTCTCTTTGCTCTGCGATCGTCGACAGGGTGATCAAACTCAAAGGTTTCAGTAGAGAGAAGGGTCGCTCAGTAGATCGGCACCACGCTCAACTGCAAGCCCTGGGGTTGGTTGGCTTGGCACAAAACTTCAAAATCCCCACATCAGGCACATGACGCGCGAGTCGTGTGTGCAGCGTTCCTGAGCTAGCTAGCTAGCTGCACGCTGGTCCTGCACCGTCGCGTGTCGACAGATCAGGCACAGCATGCTGAAGAGCGGAGTGGAGGCTACAAAAGTACAAGGCTGGATACCTGGACTAGGATTTTAGGAGCTCTGTCATGGTCACTACTACTACAGTACTAGTACTACTACTAGTACTAGTAGATCTACTACTGCTAGTGTCAGTAGTGGTCATGTAGTAGTGCACTCACTCATGTCATTATCATCACTGCAAGCACTGCGACATCATAACAATTTTTGTAGTGGTTCATACTCTACAGACAGGCATGTAGTGATGTCAGTCTGTACTGTAGATCTACTGACTTTCTGTACTGATCTCTCTTGTCCTGAGCCTGAGGCTGAGGTGAGCTGAGTGCTGCACCGCATGCGTTCTGCAAGTCCAGTCAGGTAAACCCCGTGCCATGCCTGCCATGCCCCAAACGGGCCGGGAGCGTGCCCAATCATCTCTCACTGTCACACCTCGACTCTCTACTACTAGTAGTAGTACAGTACTAGCCTAGTCTATGGCTCCACTCGACTCTACGTACCGTAGTTGTACTTGTAGTGTAGTCTCTAGCTAGCTAGCTCTACTCTACTGACTGTCTCTGCAGTGCAGTGTGAACAGGGTGACACTGCCAGTACGTAGACCATGGTAGACTCCGCAAGACTACAATCAGTAGGCACTACCCAACCCATGTCATGTTAGGACATTATCATACTCATAGACATAGGTAGATAACAGGGAGTCGTATAGACCATGAGTATGAGTATGACTCTGAGTCCTGAATGACCATGATGACCTGATCCTGAAACGCTAGCCTACTTGTGCAGATACAGTAGATGGCTGCAAACAATGACATTGTCATTGTCTGCAGAAAAATGTGAAAGAAAGAAGTGCACTCGTATCACCGCCTCCGCAATCGGCTAAGTCGTTCATGTCAAGTACCTGACCATGATGAATACTAGTACAAGTACTAGTATGTACGAGCTGTGCAGCACACTCACTGCGAGTGCGAGCTTAGCCGAGCTGGCTCAACTCTGCAGCGCAGTCACCATGGTCATACTGGTCCATACTAGTTTAGTACGGACTGTCAGTCATAGTGTACTACAGTGGAGATCGGATACAACGACCTTGCATACAACGACAGATTGAGTTTAGCGACACTGTTGCCCAAGTCGTTTACTAGTAGTAGTAGTGTAGTACCGTAACTAACTAATTACTTGGCGTAAGTCCTTTACTTTGTGAAGATTGTGGCAGACATTTTGTTCTCTCCCGAAGGAGTGTCGTTATATCCTATCTCCACTGTACATGTACTACTAGTACTAGTACTAAGTAGACCTACACTAAGTGTCGTAGTCATGGTCATGGTATCCTGTAGTCTGTAGATCTACCTGTATAGCTGTACGGCTGTAGGCTGTACTGCCACAGCGTTTACATAGTCATTCGCCGAGGAAGGACTGCAGTCTGTACAACATGCTCCGGATATCGATAGGACGCTACATGTATAATTATAGCGCTTGGGTCAGGTTTGAATTATTTTAAAATTATTATTAGATGCCGATGATTGGTCAATGGGAGCCCAGCGTGTCAGTCACGACGTCCAAATACTACTAAACAGGGAGGGTCGACTCCCTGCTAGTAAACAGTGGCGTGATCAGTGATCACGTGAGCTGTCGCACGTCATGTGGTGCCACTACACTCTACAGACGTATTTTTTTATTATTATATTTTTGAGGATTTCCCAAAGACGTAGTCTAAATTGAAGGAAGTTCCATTATAATGGGAGGCTGTAGGGTTGAGATAGCAGACAGTGGAGGGCTAATGATTGGTAATGAAAAGCCTAGCTAGAGAGATACAATTATGCTGAATGTTCCAGAATGGTCCTCTACTCAATAATACCTATAGCCTCGGGGTATGCCTTGAAATACGAATTATACCGAAACAGAAACACAACAATTAATAAGAATAAGCGCAACGTTCAAAGAAGGAGGACAGAGGCATGTCAGTGAGGAGTGGCATTGTGTTTGGTGTCAGAGAAGTGCGTGCAAATGTGACTGTGAAACAGGGACTGCGAGGCTGTGGCTCTCAGGTCTGCGGGCAAGGCATTCCAGACAGTAGCGGTGCGGAAGAGAAATGACCTCCCGGCGTGTTTCCCAACCCGTGGCAGAGTCAACGTACAGACTGTACATACCACTCAGTAACCATTCAGCCTTCAGCAGTTCAGGCATCACCACATCCCAGATCGGTGCTGCTCAATCCGATCACGTGATGAAAACGCGGGTGTCGTATGTTTCACTTGACAAGCGCGTATTACTACTCACCAGGCAAACTGTTAAGGAAAAGAGAGTAAGACAAGAGAGGGAGGGAGGAGAGAGAGAGAGAGAGAGAGAGAGAGAGAGAGAGAGAGAGAGAGAGAGAGAGAGAGAGAGAGAGAGAGAGAGAGAGAGAGAGAGAGAGAGAGAGATCGAGAGCCACTGCGACAGAAATACATGTACTGGTGAGGCTACAGGTGACTCCACTGACAAAGATATCTCAGTATCGCCGTGCCGGTAACCCACCAAAGTGATGTTGATGCGGCATTATTGTACAAAGAAGCACGTCGACCATGGCTGCTGTGACGTGTGTTTGTTGACACCTGTGAGTGGGGATCTATTGACCGGACCGGGAAGGACATCCTCAGGGAGAAGACGGGAAGGATCGCCGAAGGTCGTCAGGACTGGTGAAGGGGGTGGTGTTTAGGAGGGACTGTTCTCTATGCTGGCTCTGAACATGATGTTGCTGATGGGTTCGAACACTATCGTCCTGTGGGGCTTGAGGGAAGGGCGTACATGTACAGTGTATGCTGGTCAGACGAGGTATGCCAATTGCAATTGGCAACCCTTGTACTTGTAGAGGTAAGACAGTCCTGCCAGGAAGGCCGCTAGGCGGTGAGCCTCAGCATCCGTGTGGCTTTGCGCTGTGCTATGTCCAGCTTCCCAAAGTTGGTCTGGGCAGCACCTAGCCCGGCTAGTGTGGCATACTGATGTACAGGCCCCTGTAGACGGTGAGACGTCCAGCGGCATCCAGGATGAGGCTGCCTTCCGCATGAAATGGAGACGTTGATGTGCGCGCACGGAAAGCTGGTGAAGGTGAATGATGAAGTAATAGTTCAGCTTCTCGTCGAAGACCATTCCAAGGGGTTTTAAGGAGCTTCAACTGGCTGCTGACCGCGAGGGGCAGGGAGGCAGAGGAATTGAACAAATCTGGAGGGGTCGGCTTTCTGGTGGCTGGCATCAGCCGTGATTTAGTCGGCTCAAAGGTGACTCTCCAGGTGTTTCCCAGGCTTCTTCAGTTCCAGCCGGTAGACGGCTGTCTGGAGCAGGGAGTAGTAACTAGTATTGCACTACGCCCTGGTCTGGAGTGCAGTCGAGGCGGCCTCTACGGTTCGTCCAAGCATGACAGACGTGTACAGTGTAGTATCGTCAGCATACACAGCAATAGTGCCAACGTCGTTGTACATGTATACGCGTTCATATACATGTACTTCGAAGTACATGCAAGAAGCAATGTGGCCCCGAGAATACTGCGCTGAGTGACGCCTAGTGACCGGATAAGTAGTAGAGGGGTGGGGTCTATCTGTCCCTCAAGTTGTGGCCTCAACCTTCAGCTTGCAGCTTGGGATCCTGCAGGTATCACTAGCCAGGCCAGCAGCGATCCTCCAATCATGAATATCATAGCCTCGGAGCTTACAGATGAGCCCAGGCCAGGGTGTGAAACTCAGTCGCAGGTGCCTGCTACTTGTACATGTATATCTGTGTGTGTAGACTGTGGCGAGGGCCTGGATGCTTCCACCCTTACCAATGCCAAATGGTTACAGCCCATTCGTGCTGCAGTGACTTTAGGCGGTCAGGCGTGCCAATGGACAACTAGAAACCAAAATGGTCGGCAGGTGTCTATTGCTGTTTAGGTGTTTATTTTATTTTATTTTATTTATTTCACCTTCCCGCGGCCAGGGAATATAGTTATTTTTATGAGCTGCTGGTCGACTACACACTTTCCATAACCTTGGATACATGACTGTACCACAGTATGCAGAGCAAGGAAACTGTTTATTAACTGGTCGACGGACATCGCCCTTGGCCTTGGGCTTGTGGATGGGAACCACATTTATTCATTATTGCAACCAGGTACCTTCCGGGCTTTGGGCTGGTAGTCATGGGAGCGACAGGACGAGAACAGCCGCGACAGCGGCTTTGAGTGAGCTCAGACGCGCACTTCTAAAGTTTAGGACGCGACATGAAATGGAGTCTTTGCTTGCGAAACACATGGAGTCGGACGCTTTGGATACATGTACTTCCAGACGCCGGAGCTACATGTCCTTGAGCATTGCCGATTCGGATTCGACTCAGAATAGAATCAGTGCTCGACGGGAAAGGTAGGAGTGTGTCTTCAGTGAAATCATTTGGGACACTGCACTTCGGATCTCTGCAAAGAATGACTGGCAAATCAGAAAATGATTGCGCTATGAAAATAGTTCAAAATGCAGGTATTAAACAAAGAATGCTCGAGTGGTGATAAGGATGGGTACAATCATTACACTTTAGAAGTCAAGTGACAGCCCACAAAATCATAATTGGACTTCGAACATCACATCAAACACAAATACTTCACATTCCTACCTGAGTTCCACAAACTTATCTGGCATTGAAAAGCTTAGCAAGAGAGCAATCCGTGTTGTCTATGGGCTTCCCCCTGGGCAGCCGACCCAGCCTCTATTTAGTATTTGCTCAGCTTGGCGTCATTAGTGTTCCCTCTCGGTACATTCTTTTAAAATTCGTATCGATTTCTTCACCGGCGCTGTGTTAACCTACATGTATAAGACTAGCGGCTAGCAAATTACTGTGTTCTCTTTTCAAAGCCAGAGCTGAAGCAAACCCTGGTCAAGTAGCACGTGGAGCGACACAGAAGCAGCTACATGTACAAAGTTGCTGTAGTCATTTGTAGTTCTTCCTCCTGTCACTAGCTCTGACGCGTCTATCATTTTCATTTGAAAATTCATGGACATGCTGCCATCATCTGCTCGCTTGTGTACTCTGTCTATGAATGATAAATTTAT